CCTCCCAAAGTGCTGGGATTACAAGTGTGAGCCACCGTGCCCAGCCCCCCACCCACTTACTTATTTTTATAGAGACAGTGGTCTTGCTATTTTGCCCAGGCTGGCCTCGAACGCCTTGGCTCAAGTATCCTCCCACCTTGGCCTCACAAACTGTTATGATTACAGGTGTGAGCCACCACACCTGGCTGGGTATTGCTTCTTCTCATTCCCCTCCAAAAAAGTCTGTTGATGTATTTTTAATGTAGCATTAAAGTTAATGGAACCATTCTTTCTGGAAATCAACTGTATTTTGGTTTCACTGCCTACTGAATATAGCATTTTAGCTAGTTTCTCAAGGTTAAGATTTCCAACTTCTCACCAAAAACCTCACAGGTGTCTCAAACAAGTGATGATCTCAGGAATGTGAATAATTGGCAGGAAAAGGAGAAAGATATGGCAGGTTACAGAAGGAACAAAAAAAAGATCCAAGTTGTCAACCATTGTTAATACATTACTGTAATTTTTTTCCCTAAATTTGGAAAACCTTATATTGCAAAGAAAAAAGTACCCATTCTGAAACCTAAGAACAAAAATTGAAAGACCTTAAAACAAGCTTGACAACACCTGTCATAAGGCAAAATTTTATTTTTTCAAGTTACAAAAATAAGAACATGTCAAAAATACAGTCTAGTCCGTATAAGAGTAGTTCCAGCCATTTAAAAGTTATACAGAGTTTGGAAAAAGCAATTTATATACAAGTCTTAAAACACACAATAATCATGAACAATGCACACTGTTCAATTTAGTTATTGCTAGTTATGTGCAGCTTTTACTTGACATCGTTCTCTGTAAGGGAAAGGGCAGCATTTGGGCATTCTGATTGTTGCTGCTAAAGCTGTGGTTTTAGAAAATCGATCTAAAATAAGAATAAGCTCACTATGAGTAGAATAAAATGTGTAAGTTTCAATCACTACAAGAAAGCATGGTGTAAATTTGAGTTCCATACAACTATCATATAATTCTATGTTATTAGTATAATAGAAATACAGTATACAGTTTTGGGCAAGAGTAAATGAATTACTGGTTTCACAATTAAATGAAAAGAAACAGCTTTTGGTTGCAATGTAGAAACAAAGCTGGCATATCTAGCTTACCAATATTAAAAAATGGAAAAGACATTTAATGTTTAAGTAAAAACCGAATCTAGGTTTTTTACCTTTAGAAATTGAGAGATAAAGTTAAGCATTTTGTTCTTTTGAGGATTATCATGAAGATCTGCTATTCTCTATTTTCTTTCTAAAAAGACAATGATTTAGCCACATAGCAGGAACATATTTGAAAACAGATCTATTTACCCAATGTCATATGAAAGAACAAATCACAAAATTAAATAATTCTTTTAATAACTAAAGATAACGCAGTTGACGGTACAAAACACTGGGAAAGAATCATTTATTTGGGGGATGTGTGATACGTAAGAAACTTTGAGCCTAAAGTTCACATGGAAGACTTAAAAATTAAGGGTGTCACCAAGAGATAGCAATGGCTTTGGCTCCAACTCTCTCATGTTAGACCCTGTTAAAAGGTTAGACTTATTGCTATTATTTTACTCCCGTAAGTTCTTGAATAAATGGAGATATACATTGGTGATAAGTACGAGATGAAGTGAAAAGATCTAAATTAGTCTTAGAAGAAAAGTGACACTCATGACCATTTGGCAAGGATACTTACTAACTTAGTGATTTAAATCCTAAACATAAGCTACATTTTTAGGAGGTAGAAAACAAGTACCAACAGTTTACCATTTGGCACCCTCCTTACTTTTGGCTTCAGCCTTGGATTTCTATTTCTCATTCCCTACCTATACCCCTGTTAAAGCTATTAGTTCTACTACCACTCATTACCTAAATGTATAGACCTCGAGCTGCCAAGAAAAATCTTTTCAGGAAACTTTGCTTTTAAGCCACCAAATGTACCCAATACTCAGATTATCAATTGAGAATATTCTGCACTTCTCTAGCTGATGTACTTCTTAAGAAAACACACCAAAATAAAAAATATTGCTTAAAATGAAAGACTACTGAACATCTCTATATGCAATTCTAATATGTCATAGTAGTTATGTAAACCTAAATCTGTACTATTTTCACTGTACTGATCTGAAAAAGCCATATATTAAAATGGCATTTCCAGTGTTAACTGAAATCAGGCAATGTGTTTTACTACAAAATCAACCTAATAACCAGAAAACTCCACTTCTTCCCAGAGAGTTATATTGTGCTGACATTCCATAGATAGTATTATAAAAGGATTTTATTTTTGCAATAGGCTGGGTTCACAGTGAGTATGTTAGTACCAAGATCATGTGTTTAGTATTACTGTTAGTGGAATGTATATAAGGCATGTAAAAAACTAGCTTTAAAGCTCTTAAAGGGCAATGTTCCAAACTGGCATCTGGTAGAAAAGGTGCTGACAGGAATAAAAAATATTAAAGAAATTTGGTTTCAGCACATATTATAGTGCTTCTACAATCAAAATAGTTGACATAAATTTCTGGTGCTGGAACTAATTGACCAAATGAGAATGGAGGTTTGCCCCTTTAACTACTAGCCCAATCTTGAAAACGGAAGCAATCACTTGCAATCTTCCACACAGTATTGTTGGGAGTGGACTGTGCAGTGAGCAGGAAGTTCTGGTTGAAGTAATGTTGTTTGTTTCCATCAAACTTCACAGTTCCACTGGTCACAACAAGAACTGTAGTCTGGGACTGAGTTGCTTGCTCTTTATCCACATAAAAAAAGAGAACAGGTCAGTTTCTATCTTGAAATAAGCAGATATTCAGGATTAAAATACATGGTTTATGGCCTAACGCTTAAGCTTTTTTTCATAAACTTTCTGTCCCTTGAGCATAATCTTAAGCATGCATACCCAAATCCAGAAAACTACATACTCATTCAAAGATATTAAAATTTTCAGTCCAGAAAAATTTGGGGTGCTCTCTCTAAAGTTTCAAAATAAAGAGCTTATATCTGGCATAGGACCATTTGCTTCATATATATATTAATATTTCTTAATTAATATTTCAGGTTTCTGACAGAGCTTATTCGTGTTTTGCTTCTTAAACTATTGTTCTTTTCAGGAATTATAAAGGAAAAAAAGTCACCCAAAACTACAATTTAAGACACTTAGAAACCCACCTAGAGGTTATATTAAACTGTATCAATCTATCTGGAATCAAACTGTCTTGT